TGCCAAATCCGAGGCTCTTCAAGAGCTTCTCTGGAGATTGCCACGACAGAAACTCCTGAAAAGCTGCGAGGCAGAAGCGTACATGGAGCACAGCTCGCTGACTCCGCAACGAGCAGGCTGCTCGGTTCACTTAACGTATCAGATCCGACATCTCCTTCTCACAAAGAGATCTCCAGATCTGATCATTCTTTGATGGATCCGCGGCCTCAGCTGCGGGTTGAAGCAGCTCTGAAGAGCTCTCGCAGTCTCTTCCTGAGTCGCTGAGGCCTCGACCATGTCCTTCCAAGGACCCCTGCACTTCCTACCTACCAGGCTCCAGCTCGAGCCCGCGCATGGAGAAGAGGGGGGCACAGGACCTCCGGATAACTTACAGTAGCAGCCAGACTACCCCAAACATAGGATCCGCAGCACAGGGCACCGAGCAGCTCCCAGCATTTTTCAGCACAAGCTTTCTGTACAACGGATGGATCCCAGCTTCTGTATCGCCCATGTGCTACAGGGGCGCGACGTTCAATATTGCCGAATGCAATATTGAACGTGTGGCTTAAGATATTCTGCAATCTTCGGACGTGACGAACCCATTCTGCAATAAATCGACTGCACGATAGGCATGTAGAGCAAAGGCCCTCCAAAAGAAGGCTTACAGCAGCTCAGAAATACTAGTTTTCACAGGACGTATCAAAAAGAATACGATGCAGAAGCTAATTTTAACAAATTCCAACAACACAAAACTGGAATTGTTGTGTGTCACGGCCCGCCAAAGCTGTGGTCCGGCTCGGTGTAGGCGGGTTGTGTTATAGCAAAGGGCTGCTGTAGACACGGGGGGCGGGCACCTCGCCCAGACGCGCAAACAATCACAGGATGACCTTGAAATAGGAGGGATGGCCGAGTTGTGCAATTTCGCTTACAGAACAGACAAGTCGGCTGCCAGTGAAATTAGCCGGCTTTCCACAGTCCACGGCAGTGTCACGTTGCCTCTATAGCGTGTTGCAATCGGTTGCAGCTTGCATATAGGGGCACGTAAACCAAAACCCTGTGCAAATCGGAGTGCGGAGGCACTTGAGGCATCGGGCACAGCATTACACCTTGAAAATCCATCTGGACGGCTGCACGAAATGGTGGGACCTTGTCTCGCTCTCCTTCCCATAGCCGCATCGGGAAGCAAGGAGAACCCCGTGCTGCTACCAGAAAAAAGATGGAACAGTTGCCTGCACTGATGACTCGGCAGACTGTTCTGCAGCGGCTCTTGCGCCATTTAGTTTCATGGAAGTATTTCAAACTCGTTTTTGAAAAATAAGCACGTTCGAAAACTCTTATGTCGTTGGCAAAGCTTAATTCTGAAAATCTTGATAGGTTGGAACGAATGTCCACTGATACCGACAAGCATGTTCATCGAAAAACATGTTTATTGTAGAATCCTACGTGGAAGGTATCATTCGGCAATATCTCAAGCCTCAAGACCCTATCTGCCCCAACCATGGCTTATTGCAGAATAAAAGCGTTTCAATATACGTACGTGTACCCATTCTGCAATAAACCAAGGATGGAGGATGCTTCTGTACAGGCTCGACCAGGCTCCTGGACAAAGGGGGGGCCGGCTTGGAGACTACTCTCTCAGCCCCGGCCAAGACTCACTTCTGCTTGGGCACCCAGCCTTGCCAGAAGCGAACCACTCAAGGGTCTATAAAGGTTACTGTAAGGGACACAAGCCTGGTTCAGGGCCCAAAGGACCAGATGCAGACAGACCCTCTGTACAAACAGAATCACAAGAGCATGCAGGGGCCCTGCGGCACGACCAAAGCCATGACGAAGTGGATACGCTGTCCGACCCTCAAGTTGGTACGTGCATTACTCTCTACCGTAGGAGTAACGGATCATCAGAATCGCTCGGACTGCCAAGAGCAGCAACAGGTGTCAGAAAGGAGCCACAACGACTGGTACTCGTGGCTGAGACTCCGGCTGTGTCTACTGGCACTCTTCATGAACAGGCATAAGTGCAGCAACTGGATCAGAAATATCAGTAGCACATTGTCTGTTCTGCCAATATGAATACTAGCATGCATGTATCGTGCTCACTGTGCTTACCATTGCTGCTGGTACGATAACTTCACTGTATCCTACTGCTCTTACTACATCTCGCGATCCTGCAATCTGCGTGGCCCTTTCCATTGAGAGTGCCACTTGTCATGCGCGCTCATTATGTTATATGTTTCGATTATGGTCGACTACTCCGATCACTACCAATGTTGCTGCTTCGGCGTTCATGAACGGTCTTGAACCGTCTCAGCTGATGCTGATGATAATGATAGGAAACAACTCTTCCTGCTGCTACCATGCCAAAGCTAAATCCCGTGAAGCTTCATGTAGGCCCTAAACCCTCAACCTTGAAGGGAACCCTATAATGGAACGCCCTTTTCTAGTAGTACCATCTGCTGCCATGCTGCGAAGCTTCTTGCCGTTCTTCTGAGCGTGGGGACTGCGGCCTGGTACAATCGCCAGGAACGGGACTTATATGGGAGTTTCGGAAAATGAGGGGTACCATATTTTGGGGGTCCTTGTATAAAGGATCCCACAATTTAGGGTGCTCTATTGGGGTCACCGATTTTCGGACACTCCCATATAGTCAGGCACTATGACTATGTTTCGGACTTCTGCTGCGACGAGCCTTCCCATGAAACGTGTGACACTCAGGACTCTTGACAGGTTGACTAGTGACTAGAAGTGGTAGGACCAACTGTGAGCCTACAAAGGTTGCTTGCCCTGTTGCATCAGACTTGCCTCCTCGAGTCAGCGGCTCCGACTTGTTCACCTTGTCTACATCCACCTTCTTGTCCAGGCCTGCAAGAAGGATGCCGGAAAATCTCGGACGCCGTGACTGCTAGGGGTTTGGGGTGTTTCTTCATTGTGTCTCCTGGCTGCTTGGCATTCCTCTTCTCTTGAACTCTTCAAGACAGTTCGCCTCCTGAACCCCTGAACCCTAAACCCTAAACCCCTAAACCCTAAACCCCTAAACCCCTAAACCCCTAAACCCCTAAAACCCTAAAACCCTAAACCCCCGAACCCCTGAACCCCTAAACTCAAACCCTGAACCCTCAAAAGGAACCAGTTCCGCCACTTAGACACTGCGAGAGCCGGGCCTTGACTTTCAGAGCTTCTCAGATCCTGGAGCTCGCAAGCGCGCGTTGGCGCATCTGCACCCGAGTCTCCCAAGATCTCCTGGCTCACCTAAGGCAGGGCACTCCGGCAGAGGGAAGAGCGGACAAAATCTCGAAGCCAAGTCGCCCTCTGAAGCTGCTCATACTGGGACAACGGTTCGTCGTAGGATGCGAAGCACGGATCGAAGAGCGGGCAGACCTCCTGTGAAGCCAGGTGTGAAGCAAGGCCAAACGCACTTCGGGTTGCACCAATAGAAGGGGAGTCCATCCTGAGGTCCGTACAGTAGTGATTGCTGACAGTGACTCTCACAGTGCGCAAATAAGGTCAGGATCCTCCACTATGTAGACCCTACATATTAGGCTCCCCTGCTTTCGGCGGCGGAAAGCCTTGAAGGTGAGCGCGTCGTCTGCAGAGATCAGCTGCCTCGTCACCAGGAGGTCGACATAGCTCTCCTTGGACGGCAGGCTTCGTTTCCATCTAAGGATCCACTCCAAGCGACAGCAGTAGTATACCATCACCCCACACAGATGCAAGCCGCGTTGCGAAGTTCTGGCGCACACCCATCATGGCCTCCTGTTCCAGCCGCCCCCCGGCATCCTTTGCATGTTGGATTCCGGAAGCCGAGTGAGGTACTGCATGTGACCTCTTAGAAGCTCCATGTGCTGCCAAGCTTCTTTAGCTGCCTGCATCACTCGCAGAATCTCAGCGTGGCACTCATGAGACCTGCGTCATGCAACAAACCAGGAACATGGAACATCTAACGCAGATTTCTGCATGAACAAAATGTGATACAGTAACGAAAACAGTTTCAAAAGCAACGGCAACAACGACGACGACAACTTCTACTGCTGCTACTGCTGCTCCTGCTGCTGCTGCTGCTGATGCTGCGACTTCGACTGCCACTGCAACTGCTTCTGCTACTGCTGGTGCTGCAGCAACAACCACTACTACTACCACTCCTGCTAGTGCTGCTGGTGCTTCTACTGCTACTACTGCTACTACTGCTGCTACTAAAGAAACTCTTACTCCCAATCCGACTCCACCGCACTGCGACTGCTCTTGCTAATGCTACTGCCATACTGCTACTGCTACAGCTACTACTACGACTCACTACTTCCCAGCGTTGGCCCATACATGTTTATGAAAAGATGACGACGACGACGACGACGACGACGACAAAAACCAACGACAACGATGAGGACGGGGACGTCGACTACCACGGTACCTACCATAGGTTACAACAGTACTTCTCACTGTAAAGAGTGACTACTATGACGATAAGAAAAGACGGCCTTCATACTCAAAACCATAGTAGCAATATGAAGGAAACGCCATCATGGCGACGACAGCTCAGAGAAAGAGCTCATGATCTTCTGTTTGGCTACAGACAAGTCACTCTGGCAGGAAGCTGAAGCGTGCCAGCAGGATGCTTTGGCCCATCATGTAGCGGCCAAAGGCTGTGAAAAGCATCTTCGCTTGATCCTCATATTTAGCTCAGTTTAGAGGTTCCGGTTGAAGGTTCGCAGGTGAAGGCTTAGGGTACAGATGTCTGAGCATCGGATTGACACAGAAATGCTATACTGCATCGGAAACATGGCGATGCACTTCTTAGGATGTCCGAATATGAACACAGATTGTGATACATTCGAGTGTTTGTGATGCTTGTTCGTACATGCTACTGCATGCTACTAAAACATACTACATAAAATGACGGTGACTATATGCTGCTGTAAAGAACTATTCCAAACATGTTTCTACGTATCGAATGCCATGCATGTAATTATGTATGTAGGTAGGTACGCACACGTGTACGTATGTAGTATGTACCTGTGCACGTATGTAGCACTTACGCATGTACGTATGTATGTACGTATGTATGTGTGGTTACGTGTGAGTATGTATGTACGTACATATGTATGCATGCAATCACGCACGTACGTATGTATGCATGTGTGCATATATGTAGATGCATGTATGTGTATGCATGTGTGTCTGTATGTACTTATGTGTGCGTATGTGCATGTGTAGAAGGGTGTGTGTGTGTGTGTGTGTGTGTGTGTGTGTGTGTGTGTGTGTGTGTGTGTGTGTGTGCGTGTGTTCGTGCATAAGCCTGTGTATACTGTTTGTAATCTACTGCAATATGACCTAATACAGTACAATACAATACAATATCAATACAAAAAATGCTATATACGCACAATCAAGTGCAATACCCTGGAACAGCACGCAATTCAATATAGTCCAGCATTGTTAATAATACGCAATATCATGTAGTACAATATAGCAGACCACCAGACCATATAGTAGAGTATACCGTCGTACAAATGCTGTCATGCAGTATAACATATTGTATAGTGTAACAAACATGAAAAGTATACTCTATAACAATATATGTTGTAACAGAGTAGAATATAATGTAATGGAGTAGAGCATCATGTAATAAAATTTGGTATAGTGCAACATAAGATAATATACTATATCATGTAGTTGTGTGCACATGTTGTTTAAACTAGTTTAGCCCAGTATAACATATCATGTAATTGTGTGTGCATGTTGTTCAAACTAGTTTAGTCCAGTATGCCACTACCTCCCTACCCACTGCTTGCAGAATTTATCCCTGCCTCAGACGAGGGAAAAAAAGTCTGCTAGGTTGAGCCAGCTTCAGTTTCCAGATGCGTAGAATCAAGAAAGACTGGGGCAACCCGGGACCGGAACACCTCCTCGAAGGCTGCCCAGACCAAACTATGTCCATCTGTCGTCTCGGTTGCGTGGACTTTGTCTGCAAACTCCGCGATGGTTCTTAGCCAACACGGCACGGAAAATCTGACAACACATTCAAAAGAAAAAAGCAAGTTCCGCTGAGCTTGATGCTAGCTCTCCTAACTAGGGATGTACTGCAACCCCAGACAAAGAAACCCACGCTGATGCTACAATCCCTACAAGGATGCTCCTTGCTCCCATGGAGCTGCAGGCCAGACGCCCCCGGCCCGGCCTCCTCTTGACCGAGGATTCTGCGCAGCGGAGCTGCGAGCTGCCACCAGCGGCACATCTCCGACGCCTTCTCGGCCATGCACGCGTAGTTCTGTGAGGTCCAACGGAAGTCTTCGACGAAGAAAGGCATGTACTTGTCTTTGAAATCTTGCAAGGCAGGGGGAACTTCAGCAACGGGAGTGCCCAAGTGATTGGACATGAGCTCCCTGTACTTTGTGTCATCCCCAAGCAGACAGTACGCAACGTTCGCTTCGAGAAGTGTGCGAAAAACCGACAGCGTTCGCTGTGGTTCAGCTGTCTCCGGGAAGGGGTCCAGCCCACAGTCGCGAAAAAGAGGCCAGATCTTTCGCTTTGCCCAGTCGTACTCCAAACCACCACGCCTGAGAGCTTCAACAAACAGCATGTCAGCGAAGACAAGCGTGATGGCTTCACTCAGCATACGATAGATGATGTAGAGCCTCCTGTTTAAGCTGGTGTGCTCACCAGTGAACAGGAGGTCGGGCAGCAAAAAATGCGTCAAATCGTGCGCTTGAAACGTCGCCTCGTGGATGGCATCGTCCTGCCAGGGAGGAGAGCCGTGTTAGGGTTTAGGTTTTCGGACTTTAGGTTAAGGGTCTAGGGTTTCAGAAGAAGTAAGCATGTCTAACATGATCTATCGCGGTGCAAGCTTCAGAGCACCTTGGGCACGAGAGGAACACCAGCATTCAATCCTGGGAGCCAGTAGATAAACTCCCTCCTCGTGATTGCAGCACGGAGAAATATCCCACTGTTGAGCACGCTTGTAAAGACGTTACAAAGGCCGTGTTTATCTGGGAATGATGCGAAGAGGTGCTCATTCCTCTTGAAGAATCGGGAAACCAGCGATCCATCACCAAACTCAACGGCTCGGTTGGCCTCCAATGGGTTGTAGCGGCAGACTCGGCGTGTTCGGTAGTGCACATGATCCTGCAAGTACTGGGATAGCATCATGTCTCTTGGAGATACTTTGAAGCCCAGCTGCTTCTTTTCGTGATAGGATAGTCCACTGTACGGATCAACCACGACATCGTCCCAGTTGAAGACATTGGGCTGTGGATCATTCCGTTTAGAAAGGTCGATCTTTGCATCCATCTCGTAGCGATAGACAAACTGCTCCACCTTCGTGCACCAATAAGAGTCTCAGCGGAACTCACCATATGCCTAATGCTCCTAGCAGCCCTAGCATGCTGCCTGACCAAATCATGAAGGTTGCACATAATGTGTCAAAACTGCGCCCAAGTGACCTGGGGATCAGACAGTCCACTGGACGTTCCATCTTTTCTGACGGTCTTGTGGCACCAAACAGTGAGGGTAGCCCTGACTGTCACACGCTCACCTTGCGTTGCTTGCAAGAAACTGGCCAGCCACACGATTCTCATGTAAGGATTTGTGCAGAAGGAGGGCTCTCTGAAGCAGCTGATAGAAACTCATCTAGCAGTTGTGGATGTCTTCCCTACAGCAGTGGACTCGTTTTGCACCCTTATGCATGCAGCAGTGCTGATATATGTGCGGTAGCAGCCACACTAAGCATCACAGGCCACTTTGCAGTCTTGCCAGGACACCATCCACGAACTCTCGGCCTGGAGCATCAGCATGCTGAGACGACCCGTGGCACAGAAGGAGCACGCTCTCGTACATGACAGACTTGGTCCAGAAACTCTCCGTGCTGTGGCTCAGCAGCTTCGTGACTAAGGGCAACAGTGCTTTCGGCCCATGCTTCCTGGGTTCTTGTTAAAGGATTAAACACCAGGAAACCCTACTATTTACTTTAGACCCCTATCATGGTAGCTTAAGGTAAAGTGCTTAACAAGAACCCAGCTTCTTCGTCCGGTATCCGTACGGGCTGGCACCGAGCACCTCAATCCCATAATGTTGCAGCAACTTTTGAAACTCTGGCACACGCTCGGGGTTGGATGTGACGACGTAGACGCGCCGAGTTTTCACCATGACAGGGCCCGGTGATCTCTGAGCCAGCTCATGCTTTGGCAAAGGACGCGAAACTCCGACCGTCCAACCTAGACCCCCCGGAAGCCCATGCAGCAAGAGCGGCTAGCTAGACATCCCCAAGAACATGTATTCTGATATATTCTGATCAATACAGCGTGTTTGGGTGGCGAAGTCAGAAGTGGGAATTGTGACTGGGTTTCAATGCGATCCACTGGGCTTCCTTAGTTAGTGGTTGCCTTGAACGCCAAAGTGGCGATAAATAACACAACCTTTAAGCGGTGACGGGAAAAGCAGGCGGAGAGGCGTAGTGACAAGAATTCCTGCCACTTAGTAGAAGTGATTGTTCTGGGGTTGATATGATACACAAAACAGAAACAGTCACTTTAGTTTTGGGGGGTTTATAGATGGTTGCAAGTTACAGCAGGGATGCTACAACCCGAACAGCAAGCTGAATCCCGGACAACTTCAAGTTTTAGCGCCTCACATCAGCAATCATTCGCTGGCATCCTCTTCAGAGTGCATTCGAATTGCCGAAATAGACGTTCGTTTCAGGAATTGCATGAAACCTCGCTATTCAAGGAACCCGAAGCAGTCAAATAGGCAAGGCAAAGCAGGTGGAAGCATCGTTGGTGTATGCCAACAGCACCAATGGCTTCGGATGGCTTCGGTGGTGCTATGACTGCAAGGACCCCCGGGCAATCTTGACATAGATGCGATCGTATTCAATTGGAGCCTGGTGAAATCATTTTGCAGGATCCGCTTCAGCGATCAAGGACAATGAGCATCACCAGCAAAGCCGGCATAATTGAGCAGATTCTGAGTACGTTTGGTCCTTGAGTTTACATGTGCTCCATGGATGTGTGCATACGTACATGCAACTTTCGTGATCAGCACTTTTTGGCTTGGAGTTTTCCTGTTATTGGGTTTATAGCCATTGCAATGGCTGCTCTTGCGCAAGCTTGGGAAGCGTCGGCCGTCATTCGTGGCCGATTTCGGCGACAAATCTCTTGGATCCAGTTCCCTATCCCGGTAAAGAAGGAACCCCGTGGCACTGAATCAGAGAAGCAGTCGAAGAAAAAGGATAAGTCCGAAAAGGCTGATCCGCACCTCCCAACGACACGTGCGTTGGAACTCAACGTTGATATCCTGGAGAAAATGCTTGACCATTGCAGCAATGAATTCCTCGATATTACCACGTTGCAGAAGGAGGCGTGTGATTTGAGTCTGTGCTTGAGCAGCTTGAATAGGCTTGGATTCGTGTTCTGTTCTTGAACAGGTGGAAGAATTGTTCAGGCTGGTTTCCTTTGAGCCGGCTGCCAATCAAGCCTACTTCGACACCTGGGATCTGCGACGTCTCTGGACGTACCTTTGGCGTCGCCAAGGTGATGCTGAGAAACGCCATCAGCACCCAAGGGACAGTGATTTTGAGTGATGCTGTCTTCATGTATGTGTGTGTGTCCGTGTGAAGCATGTTTGCATTCATCCTGTGTGTCTGCACAGGATCCCGAAGTCAAGAGTTTGTTTGATCGAATTTCGGAGCTACGAGAGCAACTGGTGCTGCAAGAGAACGAGGTGGCCGATGCCACTCGTAGTGATGACGAGTTCTACGAGCCCGATGCAGAGCCGACAGACATGGTGGAGGACCATGAGGTCGAGGATGCAGACCTGGGCGATGCTACGGAGGACCATGACGGTGACGTGGATGCAGAGCTGTGTGATGCTACGGAGGACCATGGCGGTGACGAGGATGCAGAGCTGTGCGATGCTATGGAGGAGCATGACGGGGGCGAGGATGCAGAGCTGTGCGATGCTACGGAGGACCATGACGGGGGCGAGGATGCAGAGCTGTGCGATGCTGTGGAGGTCGCTCCTGAGGTCCATGGTGATGGCCGTGATGTCGTCGTACATCGGCATCGGTCCAGGCTGAGCACAACCAGCTTTGAAGCTCCTAGCGAAGCTGGTGTTTCCGATGGTTTGATCACCGACGAGATGATGGGAGAGTTGCCTGATGGTATGGATGATGAGCAGGCAGTGGAGTTGTCCATGATTCTGCAGCAGATCCATGATCTCGAGCTTGGGTTTGTTTCTGAGAATGTGACTGTATGCTGAGTGATGCCGATTGTGTTGTAATTGTGTTGTGCTCCCATGCATCCATATGTGAACCCAGGTCGCAGTTTGAGGGCGACAGCATCGCGCCAACGGAGCCCCGGAGTATCCCAACAGAATTGTTAGATGCAATTGTTGGTTGTTCGTTGGGTAGATGGATTGCACTTGTAGAATTCTGGCTTAGGTGACTCTGTGGCTCCTACTGCGGTTCCTTGTGTGGCTGTGGAGTCAAAGCCCATGCTGAATCCGGATCAGGACCCACCCACGTATTAAGTTGTGTGGGAAGTTTGCATGTGCCCTTCTTTTGGTGTGCCCCTGTTGTGAAGTTGGTTTGGGCTGCAGGAGGAGACACAGATTCAGCTGGAACCTGAGGATACGGCTACAGCGTCTGCGCCTACGCCTTCCGATGTGTCTGGGGCTGGAGTTGTCACTCCCAGCCCGTTGCATAAGCCACCACTGGAGACGACTCCTGAAAAGGTTTCGTAGACTCCATTATGCAAGTTTCTTATCGTGCATCTTGTGTGTGTGCCACACTGTGTGCTGCTCCACATTTGTGCAACTGCCATTTTAAGGTTGCCTTGGTGACCCCGGCAATGCAGGCTGAGCTCCGTGCTGACAAGGTCAAAAAGGCCAGGGCTGTCAATCGGGGCCGAAAGCTGAGGAAGAGCCGATCTTTCAAGGGCAAGAGCAAGGCCAAAAAATCGAAGGTTTCGGACATGCATGAGTCGGAGGAGGGCGCGGACCATGGTGGTGAGGAGAGTGTTCATGAGTCGGAGGTTGCCAAGGATCCTTCGGATGTCGTGGAGACTGAGGGCGGGGATAAGCCGGCCAAGCGTGGCCGACCCAAGGCAAAGGCCTCCCCGAAAGCAAAGGCTTCCCCCAAAGCAAAGGCTTCCCCCAAAGCAAAGGCTTCCGCCAAGGCAAAAGCTTCCCCCAAGGCAAAGGCCAAGGCTGCCACGAAGGAGCCCAAGGGCAAAGCAAAAGCTTCCCCCAAGGCCGTGACCAAGGCGGGTGAAGGCAACGACAGCCCGACTGCCCCAGTGAGATCCAAGGCCAAAGCCGGGACACAGCGCAGGGTCTGGCTGACCTCAACACGTTGGGTTTTCGAAATCCTGGATGGGCAAGAGCTGGGATGCAACAGCTGCAGGTACCTGTATGGTGGATGTGGGACTTGCAAAAAGCCAGGGTTCAAGGGGCAAACGGCCGAGAACTTCTGGTACTGCAGCCAGTATCAGGCAGGCCTGGCCAAGCTGGGTGATGATGATGATGATAAGGCTGAGAAGGACAAGGGCGAGAATCCGCCGACCAAGAAGGCCCGGCTCGGAGGAAAGTGATCGATTCCGGTGCAATGGTGCACCGAGCTGGGTTCGAGGTCCAGGCAACTCGGATTTTGCAATTTTGGTGATTCAGTGACTGGTGTTTCAGACATAGAAGGGCAGGTTGGCATGTCTTGGTGCAGCAAATAGCTTTACAAACGATAGGGTTGGATAGTAACTATATATATATATAGAGGGAGACTATATACTAGCCTAGTTGAAGAATTACTGAACCGTATACTTCTTAAAACTTGGGTTACATTGGACTAGCAGAAAGCAACGAGAAACTGATTATAACGGCTTTATCGTGCTGTCACTGAACGAGAACCGTCTTCTTTCAAGCCTACACGCCCTATGATAGTTGGGTTAGTGCAATAACTCCGAACACCCCCAAAACCGCAAGCCCCTTTATGCCTAGGCCACCAGCAGCCACAAAGCCGAAAGAACAAAACCGAATTAACTCGTACAATAGTGTTCGAAGGCACAACTATCGTAGTTGGTAGTTCTAGACTATCGTATGCGCCCGTAGGATGTACATAGGTGTTACAAGGGTTGCTTTAGATCCATTCCCATTAGATCTGAACCGTCTTGTCTCGGCCACTAAGCACGGAAGCATTGTCCGTGCATATTGAGGCACCATCGTGCCCATGCCCCGATCACCGTGGATTCCTCTGGCTTTTTGACTGAGCCTGGCGCTCCAAGACTGAAAGGTCGTTTGAACATGGGATGGCAGGGATATCCTTGCTACGGGTTTTCCGAGAGTGTGCTGCTTGGAATACATACCAGAACCAGTACAATATCTTTCCAACGGCAGTGCGACTCTTGGGTGATATCAGTCCCCTGAAGATGCAGGGGCTTTTTCGGTGAACTCTATGGTGACTCTAGTGCTTCGAAGCAAGACGGTGTGCTGGGGAGGCAAAAATGTTGTTTCATCAGAGTGCCAGCTTCTGCCCAAGCAAGATTGTGACCGAAGACCTCTATTGTGTTTGTGACTGTACATGAATGACCCCTGTTGCCAGGTCGGAGCCCGGCCTGCAATGCATGCTCTTCGTCTTCGAGCAAGACCTGAGGACGACCAAGGTATGCCCGCCCCCTCTCTTCGTGCAAGCTTTTCGTTGGTCAGGATTGCAAGGCTTTGGGCGCATGTTGTGTGTCGTCTTGCTTTCACTCTGGGCAAGTGCAAAGCCGGGGTTCAAAGAGAGGTCTGAGCCTAGATCCCGCTGCCATGGGTTTGGATGATGACTCGGTGCGACAGCTGTTGCATGACATGTGGCGAGCTGGTGCACCAGGGGTATCTTCGTTGCAGTCACTTCAAAAGCTGATTCGATAGATCCCTACCATGCTTGCAAGCCGATAGCCAAGGTACTCATGTCTGCCGTTTTGCTGCTGTGCTACACAGAAGGCCTTCAACATGACCAGGCTGCACATGATGGAGTTACAGTGCTGCATGCTTGATACTGGCAAACACAATGAAGCAATCCCGCAGCCTGTCAGATCTGGGATGCCGCAGAAATCTTCTCTGGCAAAGAAGTGCTGTCGAAGGCCTTGCGACGGCACGGCCATGCCACAGCCTCTCTG